GCTGATCAGAGAGCATGGGGCAGAGAGCCACAGGAGTGGGAAGAGGCTGAGATTGGGAAAAGCAGCCCAGGAAAAGAAGGGTGGACAGGAAAGCCTGAGAAGTGAGAGAAGCCCAAGCTGAGAAAGCAGGACTAGATAGACCAGGACTTGCTAGAGAGGAGAACAGGACCATCAGAGTGGGAAAAAGCCAAGAACTGAGGTGGGAGCAGATGGGAAGAGCTGGGTGGGAAACCTCAGGCTTGGGGCTAGCAGGTAGGATAGCAGGTTCCCACAAAGTGTATCTCTTCCCAGAAGCTCAAGTAGGACCCGGAGGTGTCTCTTTCTCATGCTCCCTTTGTTGCCAGGAAGCAATCTGGCGAGGCATCCTGCTCCCCCCTGCAGCTGATCCACACATCTCTAGCAGGTTGTCATCTTCTCTGTTACTTCATTCCATCAAATGGTGAAGGCCTATGTGGAACTGAGGGCTTCAAGTCTGCAGATTAACCATATGGCTGTCAGCACAACATCACATGGCAGGAGACATTTGACCAGCTTCATGTTATAGCAGGAACCTAGGAAACTCCTTTCCTCAAAGTATTAATATTCTCTTTTTAGCATCAAAATGAAGCACTCAAGGTTAGAGAGGGCTGAAATTAAAGTTTCATTTTTTATCCTCCTCACAGAACATGCTTTGCTCAGTGAGAGAGAGGAGCTGTGCGCTTATAATGCACTTTTTGTCTGGGTTGCTGCAGAAGAAGGAAAAACATGCAGTGTGAGAGTGAGGGAATGACTTGAAGAAAATGATTGTAGTAGCCACAGGAACATGATCTGATCCTCCGGGCCAGCTGAGTTTCTCTGGTGTTGGACTAGTCAATTTGAACTAAACTTGTCAAAGGCTCTCATTAGCTGTTGTACCGAACGCATTTGAGATGCCTGATTCTACAGCCTGGAAGAAGATTGGTAAAAGTACTGCATGCTCTTTGCTGAAACAGAAGTTTCAGAAAAGCATTTCTGAGGCATCTCGAATCAAGTACTGCTCAAATCAGCAGATACTTCTGAAATTGTGCCATCTGTGCCTTAGCTCACTTTCTATGTAACGGTAATAATGTTACTTCTAAAAGAAGGTTGTGGGAGATTTTGAAAATAAATTAGCTTAATGTTTTGTGATGCAGTCGAGAAGAAAGAATTGGATGAGGATGAAAGCTGGAGGAGCTGAAAGATTATAGTATAAAGTACGGTGTCATGCACCTAGCATCTAATGCAAGTGTCTTCTGTAAACGTGGAGCTCATCAACTGGAAGTTACAAAGGAGGAAGAAAGATCTGGGAGCGTTGCTAGATCTTGTGTTAATTGAGGCAGCTCTTTCATGATGTATTACACTCAGTTCTTAAAAGGTCTCAATGGCTATCAGAGAAGCACTAATGTGTTGGGCTTTTGGGAAGACTCATCTGGACGCTGGTATGTACTTCCAGCTTTACAGCAGAACAATGAGAACAAACTGGAGAAAGTGCCCAATGAGGCTGATAGTGTGGTTGGAGGAAGGGGTGGCCAGTTTTAAAAGGCAAACCAAAACGTGGGGCTTATTGAGCCTTGCAAAATGAGGATGGGGGGGATGAGTAAGACAGCAGTTTGTAAATAAACCTGAAGGATTAACAGCAAAATGGAAGTTAGCTGAGCTGAGTTACAGTTTTAGCACAATGAAAATTGGCCTGAAATGAATAAGTTTAGGTTGAAAATTAAATAGTTTGTAAGTATCAGGGTAGTGAGAGCCTGGGGCAGTATCCCAAAGGACAGAGTGGAAGGAAGATGCCTTGTTGGGCTGTAGATGAGTCTTGAACCCTTTGAGAAGGGTGTGAGCAGGACCTGGGCGGAGACTCAGGAAGCTGTAGCCAGTAAAATGTGTTAATTATAGCAGATGCAGCATGCATGGTTGGACATCGGGCATGCGATTCGTGTGGGCAGTTGACCTTTTCCTTCTCCCAAGTGAAATCAAGTCATTAGGCATTATCTCTAAATATTCTGGCCCTGTACTTCAGAGTTTGAGTTTCTTTAATCTTAGTATGCCTTGGGGAGCCAGATTACCAGCATATCTACCCTGGAGAGGCTGGGAGCAGATGAGGAGATCTCTTTCAGATGGCTGGTTTTTAACGTGTAGCCAGAAATCTCTGTTGTGTGCCTGAGCATGTGTGGAAAGGAGGGGATGTATGTGCTCTCCATTAGCATTTCCAAGATGCAGGAAAGCCTCGTGTCTGCTATTTTCAGAATATCTACCTGTCCTGGTTTACGTAGCATATTTGAATGGAATGCTATCGGTTGCGTAAGGGATGAAGGAAAAAACTCCTTGTCAGAGTGGGAATGTTGCCATTCTCAGCCTTTGGATGGACTCCACTGCATGTTTGTCATAGACAATTCCTATCTGTATGGAACATGTGTCACTGCTGATGTGATGTGCCATGTCATAAAAGCTCTGGTGACATTTTGTGACCTCTTAAAGTCTAACAAAAGAGGTTTGCAACATATAAATGTCATCTGCCATAGCAAAGCAACTTCCTAGTTCTCTAATCACATATGCCTCTTGTGAAATGCTGCATCACCTCGAAAAAAATCAGCATATTAACGGAGGAAGCTTGTCATTTCACTCATTCCCAGATTCTTTACATAATTCATCTATTAACTTTTTTTTTTTTTTT